CTTGGATGAGAAGTGAAACGTCTTCAAAGAAAAACCAGAAAGTCCAGTTGCGTCTTGAAAAAGCACCTTTGGGACATATCTGCTGTTGTTATGAGTCTATCATTTCAACCTTTTTTCCCCTTATCTACCTCCTTTATCCAGGCTTTATTTTATTATTATTATTAGCTCCAGAATTGATAAAATGAATTGTTTTTTTCTCATCATCCCTTCTATCCTGCTAGTTTGCATTCTGCAACATTTTGTACAGTAGATGTCAGTTGGCTTTTGGGGACACTTTGATGATGTCATATTTCTTTAATTTCAAATTAGAATCACTCTGAGAATTTAGTGGTAAGGCTGTAATACAGTGAAGAATGTGTATTTAGCTAAAGGTGATTGCTAAATTTGCTAAAACACCTAATCCTGTATCACCTACATTTTACTCCAGATATCTGGGATATGTGGGGTTCGAATAAGAAATCCTCCTACTTGTACTCAGCCACAATGATTCTTTCACATTGAAATTATTACAAAATACATCTCTTCCTTTTTCTCTCTGTGTTCAAATGATTATCATCTGGTTTAACTCCATTTGAGCTGACTCCAATCTCAGATTAGGAAAGTGCATAAAGTTAAAGTCTCCAGTCAGCTCCAATTTTTTTCTGAACTAGTATCTTGAGATAGAGACTGTGTCACCAATATGGCATATTTTGAATTGCAAACTTTAAGGCAGGCACTGATTTGAAGTATATTTGTAGCCTTTGTTTTGCTATCATGAATCTGGAATAATTTCGCAACAGTCCATAGTGCTAGCTAGGAGCTTAATGGGTTTAAACCAGAGGTGCTATTCAGAAGGTTCTGACAGGTTCTGGAGAACCGGTAATGGAAATTTTTAGTAGTTTGGAGAACTGGCAAATACCACTTCTGTCTGGCCTCAGAGTGGGGTGGGAATAGAGATTTTGCAATTTCCTAGCCCCAGGAGTGGGGAGGGAATGGAGATTTTGCAGTATCCTTCCCCTGGAGTGGGGATTTTGCAGTATCCTTCCCCCAGGAGTAGGGAGGGAATGGGGATTTTGCAGTATCCTTCCCCCAGGAGTGGGGATTTTGCAGTATCCTTCCCCCTGGAGTGGGGTGGGAATGGATATTTTGCAGTATCCTTCCCCTGCCATGCCCACAGGACTGATAGTAAAAAAAATTCAATTCCACCACTGGTTTAAACCATACCATGTAGTCTTTACAACGTATTGGTGTTTTTTTTTTTTTTCATTAGCAATTGGGCACTGTTCCCCATTGATTTACATCTGCAGCTCTAATCAAGCCATGAAACAGAACAGCTTGTCAAGTCTGCTTGATATATAGAAAAGATTCTTTTTAAAAGAGTAAACAAAGGAGGAACAGGGAAATGGGTGGTGGAAGAGACAACTGACAAAAATGTGTTTTGCTTGGCAGGGAAGGCTTCACCTACATGCAACAGCTTTTGCTTGGTTTTTCGAAACATGTTCAATCCCTGGCATGTGATAAAACTTTTTGAGTTAAAACTACAGAAGCAGATGAAATATTCAAGTTGAGACATTTGCGCTGAGAAATTTGGTTTATGTTATGTTCCTCCCACTTCTTTGAGTATTCTTTGAAGTTCTTAAGTGCTCACCTAAGTTTCGTTGTTACAGTTGATGGATATTTTGTTAAGACTGACACATGGATGTTGTAGAAGTAGTTTGAATGGACAGAATGGGGTGGGGAAGCGTGGGGAAGATTTAATTATATTTCCTTTTAAATTTTTTTTATTTTATGCTTTAATTTTTCAGCCTACTGGTTCTTATTTGCCTTGCTTTGCATAATATGAAACTGGATTGTGTGAATACCACATAAATCCCACTTCTGTGGTATTTTCTAGTGGTTCTGCGATCTTAAATAGCATTTTTATCCTTCAGTGGTTGACCAGAATTCATTTTTGTTGCCTGCAATTGTGATATCAATGTCTTTTTAATCATAGAACCTTCATCTCTGTCCCTCACTAGAGAATTTGCATTTGGTTAAGCAAACATTTGCCGCACAAATATCATTAATTTAATCTCAGATGGAACTTGTACATCCAAGAATTCGTTCTCGTAGTTCTTGCAAAGTTATTGGAAAGAGCGTGATTAAATATAGTAGAATTCTTGAAGTTTTCCTATTATTTCAACCCTAGTCAAATGCCAATCAAGTTTGATGAGCAGAAAACAGGAAAGGAGCAGATCTGTCCTCTGTTCAACCTATTTTCTTCCCTGGCATCCCTCAAGGATAGACCAAAGATACCTTACTGTGAACAAATTACCCTTGACATCTGCCCTACAAATCAAGCTATTCAATATACAGAGATGGGCAAATTACGTATTATGACACATGAGGTACCAGTTGCTTCTCTTCATCCCTAGCAATCATCATCATTGTTATCATCACCAACATCCCTAATCATTTGCTGCTATTCTGTGACTTCTCTGCCCAACATATCATTCTGTCTTAACAGGCAAATTGATGACTCAGGATGAGATGCAGATGCTCAGACCAGCCTGCTCAACCTGACATCCTCCAGATATGTTAGATTTCAGAGTCACACAAACAGCAGGTTGCTAGGAACCAAAATTTAACACACCTTAAAAGAAACAGACTGGTGGAAGCTGGCCAAAAGCACTGCACGGGTAGTCTTGATGCTCAGATCCTAACAATGAACCCTTCTTCTACACAATTCATTCACACCGCAATCCAGGGTCTTAACACAACTATAGGCAGGATCCACGTTCACTTCATCAACTGCAGACTGCAAATATTTCCAGCAGCTTGTTACTACCAGCTGAGAGAATATGAAATACAAGTTAGGAGGCAGGGGCCATGGAGAGAAGAGAAATGCCCTTGAATGCATATACTATTTGAAATGGATTGATAGGAAAGTGGGGGTGAGGAAGGGAAGTAGTTCCCCAAGGTTGCAGGCAGATAATTTTTTTTTTGCTCTTTTCAATGGAGCATTGCTGGTTTGCAGTCAGCCCTTGGTTGATGGATGGGAGTGTGTCTAGGAGCAGATGGGAGAAAAAGTCTTGTGTGGTTGGACACTCTATCTGGGCTTTTAAGCTGCGTTTAACACTATCCTATCCCACTGCAATTTCACAGGGATTTTGAAGAAACCATCGTATTTTCTTTCAGGAAGTTGTCCTTTGCTCCTACTTTTCTTTTAGCTAAAATGAACCTCTGACCTGATAGAAGAGTACATACTTGTATGCAGTGGTGGGTTGCCCCCGGTTCGGACCGGTTCACAAGAACCGGTAGTAAAACTGGCGGGAGCTCCATCCACCACCCCAGATGTCGTCATCAGCGATCTGCGCATGAGCAGAAGCTTCCGCACATGCTCAGAAGCAAGGCCCGTGCGCGAGCGAAGTGAGCGTGTCTGTGATCCCGTTGCGAACCGGTGGTAAAGGAAAGTAGAAGCCACCCCTGCTTGTATGTAGTGGCAAAATCCAATTTTTTTTTTTTACTATCAGTTCTGTGGGTGTGGCCTGGTGGGCGTGGTGTGGCTTGGTGGGCTTGTCTTGGTGGGCGTGGCAGGGGAAGGATACTGCAAAATCTCCATTCCCACCCTACTCTGGGGTCAGCCAGAGGTGGTATTTGCCGGTTCTCTGAACTACTCAAAATTTCCGCTACCAGTTCTCCAGAACCTGTCAGAACCTGCTGGATTTCACCCCCGCTTGTATGGGGTAAATCTCCAGTATAAAGTCTGACATTTCTAACAATGCTGAAAACAAACAAATAAACACAACAAACAAAGGCTAAAATCCATGCCGAGGTTGTTATTGATCCATAATCACTACTGTTGATTAGTGTGAACCAAGCACTAATGTTCACAGATGGACGAATAGTTACAGGGGTTGCTTGTGAGAATGTCTACGACAAATTTTTTGCAGCCCATTTTCATCCCCGGGAGCATTGCAAAAATCTAATGATGACAGCATCCTTTCGTATTAAAAAAACCTGAGCACCGAGAGAGGAGGGGACAGATCCTTTGAAGTTACAAGTTTTATTGAAGTTGGATAATGACCTTAACTGGCAAGGAAGTGTAATAATCTATAACTGGGCTGCTTGTCTCTGAAAATTATCTTCCAAATGGCAGGCTTTCAAAGTCTGGGAAGTGTTTTTGTTTTCATCAGTTTTGCAGTTCATCTTGGAAAATGTCCTCCCTGGATAGATGTCATCATGGCTACATCAGGTCAGAGTGATAAAAAGAAAATAATGCATTTCTCCTTGGATACTCCTTTGTACTGTTCTTGGATATTTGAGTATCAAATCAAATAACTTTATGACAGTCTTTGAGCAGCCTTTGATATCTGAGTAATATTGGTGAATCTGCTCAGTATGGAAACAGGTCTGGGTTCTGTAATCATTTCCTACTTCAGAGATAAAAAAAACAAAAACAAAAGTTCTAAAAGTGAAGTTAAAAGACCCAGGCTTGCTTACAAAAACACTCTGCCAGTAGGAAGAGAAGTAAAAGTCCCTTGACTTTCCTCAAGGAGTTGCAATCATTAAGATTCTTTCTCCCAGGTAGGTAGGTAGACAGCCGTCCAAAAGTCACCTCAGGTTATTCCTAAGTGCCCCCATTGCAGGGGTGCTATTCAGCAGGTTCTGACAGGTTCTGGAGAACTGGTAGTGGAAATTTTGAGTAGTTCAGAGAACTAGCAAATACCATCTCTGTCTGGCCTCAGAGTGGGGTGGGAATGGAGATTTTGCAACATCCTTCCCCCAGGAGTAGGGAGGGAATGGGAATTTTGCAGTATCTTTCCCTTGGAGTAGGATGGGAATGGAGATTTTGCAGTATCCTTCCCCTGCCACACCCACCAAGACACACCCACCAACCACACCATTCCCATCAAGCCACATCCACAGAACCAGTAGTAAAAAATTTTTAATTCCACCACTGCCCCATTCAAATCCGTGTGTGTGTTTGTGTGTGTGTGTGTGTGTGCTGCCGAAGAGCCAGCTCTGGCAGCAAACACAGTAGATTGTGGATAAGAGAAAGAAAAGCTCTCTCCCCACAGCAGCCATTTTGGGGAGGAGTCCAATATCTCCTACTTCAGTGTCCATCATCATGAGGCAATATAGCTTCTGAGAAGGAATTGTGGAAATTGAAGTTCACGACTCTTACATAGGCACCAGATTGAAAATCAGTGCCCTGTGTAATTAACCCTAGGTGAGTGTTATGGAAATAAACATACATTCTTCCTCTTTTGGTCTCTTTTTGTTTGGTTGAATTGTAGATTATAAGATATTTTGGAAGCAAGAATCCATTTTCTTGTGGCTTATAAACTTCCATAAGTCCAAAATGATTGCCTTGATAATTGGCTAGTACACCTGTTCTTCTTGTTTCTGCTAGCCTTATCAAGGGTGGGGAAGCTGTCATGCATGTAACAAAAATCGTTCTATATCAGATTAAGTTCTTATAGATGAAGTTCTTATCAGACTAAATTCTTATACTCAGTTCAGCATCTTCTTACCCATGGTCAAGTAGGTTTCTCTGGAGATTCCTTCTCAATTCTTGTTCCCCAGCAAACGATATTTGAAAAAATGCCACTTTCAAATCAGGAACTACCTCACAGCTGCCATGACTAATCAGCAGTAAATAATTGGATGAATCATTCTATAAAACTAATGAACATCACCACATCCTATACTGAGTCATCCATCATATTTTGTTTAAATCATTTATATGTCAGGCTGTCCTCTGTTTGGAAATATCCTTTATTCCAGAGGTACTTCATGGGTGTCCATGGGTAATAACTGGAGTGGAAAAAGTGGCCTCCAAAAACCTTTAAAAGGTTGCAAGATCATGAAATCACATGTAAATTTGCACAAAATCCCAGAAATCTCATCAAATATTATGCAGAAACATCCCCAAAGGAGCCCAAACATATTACACAATATTCCTGAAATTAAATAGGATCCTGAAAATTGTGAAATGTTAGCAATGTTTTTTGGGACACTGAATGAAATTGCATACAGTGTCAGGTGCCAGAAAAGTTTGATGAGCCCTGGTTTATTTAAAGTCTGGTCTGGTTTAAATCAGATTTAAAGATAAGAACTCATGTGTTGTTTTTGTCCATTTATCAATAGCATCAGAGCAAGTGATACACCAATACACAAGTCCACTGCATAGTGACGTAGAACTGTAAGCTGCATTCACATGACACAAAGAAGCCACTCAGTTTTTGCCTTAAACAATCATGGAAAGCCAGATCACATAGTTGCTTTGTGGTTCATTGTGTTCAGTGATCACAAAAAAATTGGATTAATTGTGCAGACGGTACTTAAGTTAGTTATGGATAAGTACATCATGAAAGCAGTCATAAATTGGGATGCATTTTAAATTTTTTAAGGTTGTAGGAAGAAATTTTTTCCCTTTCCTTTTTTTAAATAATAAAAAAGAAGTGGAGTCAGCTATTAAACGTTTAGGGAATGCTACTAAATCCAAAGTTCTTGCTCTTTGCCTCCTCCTCCTCCTTCACTTGACACATCTGTATTATTTACACAGTCATTTCACAGCCCATTTGTTCTTTCTGGTTTGATGGTCTATAAAATATTTCTATTGCTAGTTTCAGTCTCCGAAACATCTCTGATTACAGCCCATAATGACACACTAGGACAGTCAGTCTCTACTTGCTTAAATCTCTACCTTCAGGTAAGACTAGTGTGCCCTTTTGCCTCCCCTTCTCCTGTTTTTATTCTGGCACATTAGAAGCTTAAACTCCATGCAAGAAAATCTTCTTTGACAATCTGAATATTTCTCAATGTCGTATTTATAGCACATAAGGTTGCCTGCTACAGTCCTACACAAACTTACTTTTGGCATGATTGTTCCACCCCATTCTTTTCCAAAAAAAGAAATAAACTATATTTATCTCTGTCACAGACTATTCTCCTTTATTTCATGAACAGGATGAATGGTTCTTTCCAAGTCTTCAGACAGCATCCAGAAGTGAGTTTCTCCCTAATTGTTCTTGCAGCAAAATCCAGATGTGGAGCTTCATCTGGGATGTTTTGCAAATGTTACCAAGATTCTGGAAGATGTACATGAGGAGAAGCTGGTGTGAACAGTCTCTTAAAGTTTTATCTGGAAGCTTAGTGTTGCTTATGTTGGGATCATAATGATATTATCGAAGTTGCATCCATGTTATTCTTTCTGTTCTCCATGTGCTGGATATTAAGGATTAAATGTCAGCTTCCATTATTCCCCTCTGGCTGAGTGCTAAAATTCTTCATTCCACTCTTAATGGCCTCAAATGCTGTGATGTAAGTTGGAGGAGTATGACTTTAACATAGGAACTGTACATTAGAGGGGTTTTGCAAAGGTGTATTGTAACTAGATAGCCCTCCCCCAAGTAAAATCAACCAGGTTTTGGGGGGTGGGGGATTTTTAAAGGTGCATGTTGGCATAAAGCACCTTGGTCTTTTAATTCCCCCAACCCCACAGAATCTGAACTATTTAGTTCTTTAATAGATCTCAAAATTTAACACATTAACAGAGTTAGAAGGGACCTTGTAGGTCATCTAGTCCAACCCCCCCCCAAAGCAGGAGACCCTACACCATTTCTGACAAATGGCAGTCCAATCTTTTCTTAAAAGTCTCAAGTGATGAAGCTCCCACAACTTCTGAAGCCAAGCTGTTCCATTGGTTGATTGTTCTCATTGTCAGAACGTTCCTCCTCATTTCTAGGTTGAATCTCTTCTTGGTCAGTTTCCATCCATTATTCCTTGTCTGGCCTTCAGGTGCTTTGGAAAATAGCTTGAGCCCTTCCTCTCTGTGGAAGCTCCTTAAATATTGGAAGACGGCTATCATGTCTCCCCTGGTCCTTCTCTTCACTAGACTAGCCATGCCCAGTTCCTGCAACCGTTCTTCGTATGTTTTAGCCTCCAATCCCCTAATCATTCTGGTTGCTCTTCTCTGCACTTTTTCTAGAGTCTCAACATCTTTTTTATAGTGTGGTGACCAAAACTGGATGCAGTACTCTAGGTGTGATCTTACTAGGGCTTTATAGAGTGGTATTAGTACCTCACTTGATCTTGATTGTATCCCTCTGTTAATGCAATTTAGGATTGCATTGGCTACTCATGAGTTCTACTCATACTGGAGACATAAAATGGTGTCTGGGGGCACATGAAACCTACAGGCCACAAACCGAGCATCCTATGTGATAACAATTAATTAGAAGCAAGCTGGGTAGGCTCTGAAGAAATAACATCCAGCAGGGTTACCTGGGAGGATTTTGAAGTTGAAGATCCCGAGGAATTAGACAAAGACCTTGGTGACATGAACATTGCCTTCTGTCAGTTTGACCCCTGTTCCCCTTGACTAAAATATACTGCCAGAGTAGGGATTAGAAGCTGGGTCCAGTTGGCTATGAATGACTTAGTGCAGAAGAAAGAGATGGCCATCTCCCTGAAGTGGCATTGGCATGATCCTCATTAAGAGGCCAGCCTTGACCCCAGCTGTATTTCAAACTTGCCCTTTTTGGTGAAGGTGAATGAGAAAGAGGTAAGCCATCAATTCCATAGGGCTTTAGAAAAAAAAAAGGATTATCTGGTTCTGTCAACCCTTCAAGATTGATCAGACTAGGAACTCAATGTCATGTAGGTCAATACTACTTTTAATGTAAAGCTATAGTAACAGAATCCTGTGATTCTGAATGCATCCTTCCTCTCCCCCCACCCCTTATTTTTATGAGAACTAGGGAAGGTCTCATCTGAGATGTTTATTCCGGTTACTTTACTGCTCTAGAGTCAGCCCTCTTTTATTTGACTGTTGTCTTGGTAGCAGCTCTTTTCTCTGAAATTGCATTGGCTGTTCTCATTGATGACCTTAGTTTGGCTGAAATGGGAGGGGGGGGGGTCACAACTCTACTAGATCTTTCAGCAGTCTCCAACACCCACCCCAATTTTTCAACCGTCATGACCACTGTTGTCACAAGGCTTCTAAAATATACCATGTTGGGGAAAATTGATTCAGAAATTTCCAAATGAAATGAAATACCAACTATAAAGCCAGTAAGGGGAAAACAATCACAACAATCTTCTGAAATTATTAAGTTGGCAATTGAAGAAAAAACCTTCACAAATATATACAGTAGACTTCTATATTCTATAATAGCTGTCAGTGAAAGCAGAAGCCTGTTGTACTGCATTTCACATAGGAGTTCTAAGATAAATTGAATTTGAGAATTTTGATTTATAAATTATGGCTTGAAAGGCTTCCACTGTTTAGTGTTTTCTATCATGTATCATCAGTTTTATTTAGACCCAACTGTATGTTTGAGTATGAATAATAAGATAGTTGATTAGACAAAATCCAAATATATATCACTCTTTTGTGAGGTTAGGGGGCATTTTAGTTTAGAACAGTATTTGTTCAGTACAGTCAGGACAGAAAAAAACAAAGTATTACACAGTACATAATTAACATGTTGAATTTACAGCCACAGTATGTGGTTAGGACCACTGGTTTAGATTGTTTTAAGGAGGATTACACAAATTTATGTATAAGTAATCAGTGGCTATTAGTCATGATGCTTAAATGGCACCTTATCAACATCAACTTCTTTAGTATACACCAGGTGCTATGCAAAAATAGAAAACACAAGTTTCTGCCTGCAGGCTCACAAACTAAAACACAAAATGTCTGAGACAAGAGAAGAAGGGGAGGTGGAGGCAGAGGAGGGAATGTGTCATGTCAGTTGGGAGAGAGAAAGAGTAAGAAAGACCATAAAGATGCATTATCATTAATTGAGGAATATGGAATTTTTTTTAAAAAAATCAAATATTTATCAGAAACATTGCTTAGAAAATTTATATCCTGCCTTTCCAGTTCATTTTCTCTTGTTCAGCATGGCTGATGGCAAAAAAAAAAAAAAAAAAAAAAAAAAGCTGCTTTTACTTAAGAGTTTTATTCTGTCTTGCCACCAATTTAACATTTCTCTGCCTCACCTGAACTAGACAGAAAAGACAGATGGAACAGAATGATGTTGTTATTGGTGTGTTAGTGATATCCTGTTCAAAAACCTTCACTGGCTTGTAAAAACAGCCCTCCTGTTAGTGATATGGGATGACTACAATCTTGTGAATGTCAACTTCAATAGGCTAATCAAGAGAACAGAAAACTGATGATAGGGTCATGCCTTCTGATCCCATTCTTCCAGCACAAATCAACTATCAATGTTTCTGGGCCAAAGCTAGAATTGAAACCTGATTAATATGTATTTAGGAAATCAGTTTTCTAAAAAATAGAAGATCTTACCTAGCAATCGTTAGCTTGAAGATCTTGCTAAAGAATATAATAATTGGTACTATTGTAATAGGATCATGAAGACTTTTTAAAGGAATGGTCTCACATTGATCATATTTAGGTCAATGGTAGCTGTACCAGCTTGATCTTCACCCTCCTTTCTTGCCTGCATTTCAGTTGTTCTGAATTTTTCTTAAAATGTGGTACCCAGAACTGAAAATGATTTGGAGTTGGAATCAGAGTAATGCAGAATACAGATGAACTTTTACTTCCTGAAATCTGGAAATGATACTTCCAGTAATGTTACCTAAAACTATACTTGTCATTTTAGCACCAATATCACACTAGTAACTCCAGTTCAGTTTATCATCAGCTACAATTTCAAGATTTCAATTTCTTATCTACTATTATCTAGCTACGTATATTTAAGTATTTGCTTTCTGTAGCTCCGTATGAAAAGGTATTAAATTCAATTGCTTAGTCCATTTGATACCTGTAGAGTAAGGAAAATGACCTTGATAGAAATGTGCAGGAACCTTTACTGTCAGGTGCAAAGAATCAGAATCATGTGTTAAGTTGCAATTCCAAAAGAATTTATTGCTCAAGTCTATACACATGAATCAACTAAAGTTGAATACTAATTTAGAGCCAGATAAGGGTCAACAGAACTCAAGAGGGATTGGACAGGGGTTGTTTATGGTAACACAATAACTTTAATCTGATGATGTGCTTCATTCCACCATCAGCCCCAGCTCTGCCTGCTGTTCTTCTAATTATATAGGCAAAGGGGTTGAAATACTTTTTAGGTTCAGAACTAGATAACATTCAGAAGTGTAGATATCTCTCAAGGCATCCAGAACTATGAGGAGGAGAAGGAGGAGGCCCAGCATAAACTTGGAAGATTCTGTTATTTTAGCCTATCTCTATAAAAGTAGTTTTAGCTTCCCATGGAGTTGATTTTATGGTCTGATCTTCCTACTGGGGCTGAGATCAATCTTGCATGTCTGATTGTCATCAGATATTCCCTATGTGTCTGTTAAGCTCCAGCTTGATTGAAAACCTGCTTCTTTAAAAGTATGTGGTGGGACACCTTCCATCTTCTCAAGGAAGCCTGAGCCAAAAGCTGTGTTGAGTAATTCAACCTGGAACCTTTTGCCATCCTCAGAGTAGCTGGAATGCTTCTTTCTTTTCTCTGCCTACGATTTTGAACATATTTACAATGGGTTTTTTCCCAGTCGATCTTAAATATCTTTTGCTAACTTTAATTTTCCTCACAAAATCTCTAAAATTATGATCTAAAATTTCATATCATTCTTTGGTATTCTTGAGTGATTCTTTCCATCTCCTACGGTAGGTGTGCTTTTCGTTATCAGGATTTTTGTGCAGCAGCACTGCCTTTTTATGCAATTTCCATTTTTTAAAAATCTCAGTAATTTTTATCATTTCTGTCTTCTCCCTTCTCCTATCCATTTTGGGCTCCATTAGCTTTTTCTTCCTTCTTCCACCCATCCATTAGCTTTTCCTGCCACAGGATCCTATTATCATTTCTCTAAACTTAGTAAAATCTGCTTTCTTGAAGACTATACAAAAACATTATTCTGGATCTTGACCAAATTTATATATTTCTTAATTAAGTTTCTATAACCACCCACTTCACTTCCAAAAGATCATTAAAATCATTAAAAACAGTAACAACTTAACCTGCAAGAAAGCACTGTCAACTTCCTTGGCATAGCTCAAATGATAGGAAGTTACTTTATATTACACAGCTGAGGTTTTTCCTTTGTGACTGTCAAAATCAGAAGGTTCTCTTACCACTGACTTTAGTATCAAAATTATTCTTCAAAGTCGCTTTTACTTTGAAAGAACAGGAGGAATACTATTGTGATACTACTGTTAGAGAATCTGAGATTTATACTACCATGGAAAGATGAGAAAAAGTGATTTATTGGAGCTGAGTTGTGTGCCTATAGTATTCATGGCTTGAAATGAAGAAGTAAATAAATAAATAGCTTGGTAGGAGTCAAACTAAATATACCAGTGAGTGTTCCAGTGGTGAAATCCAATTTTTTTTTACTACCGGTTCTGTGGGCGTGGCTTGGTGGGCATGGTGTGGCTTGGTGGGCGTGGCAGGAGAAGAATACTGCAAAATCTCCATTCCCACCCCACTCCTGGAGGAAGGATATTGCAAAATATCCATTCCCACCCCACTCTGAGCCCAGCCAGAGGTGGTATTTATCAGTTCTCCAAACTACTCAAAATTTCTGCTACCAATTTTCCGGAATTTTCTGCTCAAAATTCCTGCTCCTGGTTCTCCAGAACCTGTCAGAACCTGCTGGATTTCACCCCTGCAGTGTTCCTAATATGAGGTACTCCAGATACATTAGGGCTTCAACAACAGAATTCCTTGAAAGACATACTTTTATTTTTCCAGGAAAATCATTCTTGCAATTTTTGTATTCAGTTGTAAATACCCTACCTTATATCTTGCAAATGACATCTCATTCATGAGAGGGAGGTACAGTACCAGCTGGCTTTTTGGAGCCGTAAGGCTTATGGCAGGAAGGACCAAAAATCTGTAGAAAAAGATAACCTAAGCTAAAGGAAAAGCTCAAAGGATTCTAAACTTATTCAGTATAGATCTGCCTCCACAAGGTGCTGTGCCTTAGAGGGGTATCACTCTGACTTGAAGTGAAGGGTGTTATAGAGTTACATCACTCCACTGTGACAGAGTCAAAGATGGTGTCAGGCCCAAGGAATCAACAACGATGTGAGGTTATTTCAAAATAGTTTCTTTATTGTTGCTTGTCTATAAATAGAAATCTTGCCGGGCTAAAAGCACTAATCTGCATAGCTATTAGATATACCCTATGAATGGCTAGGAAGGATCTATCTTTTCCCATCACAAAGATTCCAAACTATGTCTTTTTTGCTCCTTGGGAAAGACTCTTTTCCTTCTGGGCTACATTCTGCCACATTTGGACAACTCATCTAAACTGGCTGCTTTGCTTCTGCTTCTCTAACAGTAGCTGTTGAATACATGTCACTGTAAGTCAACCAAGGATTAGTTGCCTTTGCTTCAAGGATGGGTGCCATTCTGCGGCTTTGTTTCAGATGGAGCTTTAACAAGCATGAGTCAGCAATGTGCTGCAGCTGCCAAAAAAGCCAATATAGTCCTAGACTGCTTCAACAGAAGGATGATAGCATCAAGATCACGGGAAATGATAGTAACACTCTGTACTGCACTAGTGAGGTCAATACTGTGTCCAGTTCTGAGCAGCATGGTACAAAAAGAAGAGCTGAGGCCCTAGAAAGAGTGCAGAGAAGAACAAAGATGATAAGGGGCCTGGAGGCTAAACCAGAGGTGCTATTCAGCAGGTTCTGACAGGTTCTGGAGAACCGGTAGTGGAAATTTTGAGTAGTTCGGAGAACCAGCAAATACTACCTCTGGCTGGCCCCAGAGTGGTGTGGGAATGGAGATTTTGCAATATCCTTCCCCCAGGAGTGGGGAGGGAATGGGGATTTTGCAATATCCTTCCCCCAGGAGTGGGGAGGGAATGGGGATTTTGCAATATCCTTCCCCCAGGAGTGGGGTAGGGATGGAGATTTTGCAGTATCCTTCCCCTGCCATGCCCACCAAGCGACACCACACCTACCAAGCCACGTCCACAGAACCGGTAGTAAAAAGTTTGAATTCCACCACTGGCTGCTAAACCATATGATGAATGGCTAAAGGAACAAGCATGTTTAGCCTAACAAAGAGAAGGCTTAGAGGTGACATGATAGCCGTCTTCTAATATTTGGAGAGTCATCACAGAGAAGGGAGGGGTCAATTTATTCTCCGTGACACTTGAGGGCAGGACAAGAAGCAACAGGTGGAAGCTCATCAGAGGGAGATTCTGAGATTCAACCTGGAACCAAGGAAGAAATTCCAGAAAGAACAATCAATGGAACAGCTTACCTCCCAAAGTTGTGGGGTTTTAAAGAAAAGATTGGACATTTTTGTCTGGGATAGTACAAGGACTTCTGCCTTGGGCAGGAGGTTGGACAATAAGACCTCCAAAGATCCTTTCCAGCCATATGCTATGATTCCAAGTCCAAGCATCCTTTCAAAGATTTATATAGCCATCCTTAGCAAATGCCTCGTGATGACTGGCCATGGGAGGGATGGAATGGCATATACTGAAGGAGGGCATCACTGGATGGAATGTTAAACAGAAGCTCCCTATGCTGCCATGGTTATTTCGGAGTCTCATTTATTATTATTAGAATGTGAAAATGAATCTGCCCTGGTCACGTTATACTGACTAATGCAATATATTTTAAAACATAACACTGCTGAACGGCTAATAATTATTAACTAGAAAAGAAATGAGATGTTTATTATTGCGTGACTTGTACCATATGTTTGCTAATTAAATGGACACTTCACGCTGAGTAACAGTGAGATGTGAAAACAATGCAAACGCACAAACACACACACACATATATATTGAAAAGAATCATTTGGTAGAAAACAGAGCAAATGTGTGAATTTGAATAACATTGTTTGGTCTGCAAAAGAGAGAAATGATACAAATCAGTCTAAATGTCTTTAGAGGAAGGCACTCTTTCTTGGACTGTAAGATTCTAGGAAAGCCATCACGACACATATTTTCTGATGTAGGCTTTCTTGTGAGAAGAAAAATCTACTGTGTATTGCCTGAGTAGTGCTCCGTTCCTTTCAACTGTTCCAATCTCTAGAGAATTCATCAACAGGGAATTCTAGCAGTTGTAATCCACTACCTCTGGAGGATAGAAGGTAGACGGTCTAGATGGTGCCATTTCTGCAGATCAACCAAATATTTAATATTTTATGCATCAACTACAGTGACAGGAAATGTCAAGCAAACACTAAATGGGGCGCAGCGAGCCATTTCCATCACCAGATGACGATTGGTCTTAAGTTCTCCCATCCTCGTCTTTGTCTTTCTGCCATCTTTGGATCTCAACCCTTCTCCTGACAGATACCTTTATGTTCTAACCCCGTGATGGCAAACTTATGGCACGTGTGCCACAGGTGGCATGCGGAGCCATATTGGTGGGCATGCGAGCGTTGCCCTAGCTCAGCTCCAGTGCACGCATCTCATTTTTGGGCCTTCTGGGCCCAAAGTCGGCAAATGGGCCTTTTCTGGCCTCCAGAGGGGTGGGGAAGCCTGTTTTTGCCCGCCCCAGGCTCCAAGAAAGCCTCTGGAGCCTGGGGAGGGTGAAAAACAGGCCTACTGGGTCCACTGTGCCATTGCGTGCCAAAAACAGGGGGAGCTTGCGCGGGCCACATTGAATTATGGGTATGGGCACACACGCACATGACCCCCCATGCTCCCCCCGCTTTTGGCACGCGACAGCAAAAAGGTTAGCCATCACTGTTCTAACCCCACCAGAGTCTAGCAAAATACAAATGTCCCAAAGGCAAGAGACAAATGTCACTGAGGGTGGCTGAAGAATTGGAACAGGGCAGCATCAAAAAGAAAAAGGGTTGCAGGATGGAGGATGAAGCTGTATACTTATGAGAAAGAACTGAAGAGGAAAATAATAAAGTAGTACAGGTAGTCCACAACTTATGAGTAATTGCTTAGGAACTGTTCAAAGTTACAACAGACCCTCCCAAAAGCTACTTAGGAGTCAATTTGAGAGGTAGGATTGCCACACACACCCCAATCATGTGATCATATTTTGAGTGCTTGGCAACCAACTCACTTTATGGCCATTTGTAGCACCTTGCGGTCACAGGACCATTATTTTTTATTTTATTTTTTTTGCTGATTTCTGGTGTTTACTTCTGGTTTCTGGCAAATAATGCCCATAAGTTACCATGGATTCACATAATGGCTACAGTGTTCACTTAATGACTGCTATGTTTGCTTAACAACGCCAGCATTTGCTTAACAACCACTGCAAAAAACATAATACATCCAATGCCTCAATTATGATTGTAAATTGAAGATTATCTGTACAGACGGAAGAAAAGGAAAGGCATATAAGTTGGAGGAAGGAACTCTGTCAAAAATGAAAGATAAACCCATATTTACCTCAGAAATTATACAGGTTCATCCGGTTTAGCTTCACACGGATGTCAAAAAAAAATCCTGCATTTTTCAATCATTCTTATTCAGTCTGTTGGAAAGGAAAATGCTTCAGAGTTTTATGTGGGGCGGTGTTTTGATTTTTTTTAAGAATAAATTTTAACAAAATTCTCACTGGTAGGATGTAAGATTGTTTAGTTCCCCTAGTTAGCTGATGGAGGGATAGAACCAGTGGTGGGATTCAAGCAATTTAACAACCGGTTCTCTGCCCTAATGATTTCTTCCAACAACCAGTTTGTCAAACTGCTCAGAAAGTTAACAACCGGTTCTCCCGAAGTGGTGCAAACTGGCTGAATCCCACCACTGGGTAGGATCCCACCCCATCTTTCCACATTTTCATTCTTCTTCAAAGAGGTATAATGAAAAAAAGAACTCCTCTCGGTCTTTTTCAGGCTGGGAAGCCTGGGCAATTGGGTAGACTATCACGTAACGAAGAGGAGGGGGGAAAAAAGTGAAGTTAATTGCATCCTCCTGCAACAATAAAGTTCAAAATCAAGATGATACAGCCATTCTGATGGTCACAAGCATTCTTCTCTTCACAATCGCAGAAATAAATGGCACAGCTATACAGGTAGTCCTCGACTTACAACAGCTTCACTTAGTGACTGTTTGAAGTTACAACGGCACTGAAAAGTCACTTAATGATTTTTCACACTTATGATTGTTGCAGCATCCCTTCAAGTCATGTGATTAACACTCGGATGCTTGACAACTGATTCACATTTATGACTGTTGCAGTGTCCCAAGGTCATGTGATCCTGTATATCCCTACACAACCCATCAAGGAACACAATAACCACTTGTCCCATAGGTACTTCTTGTTTTGTTTCGTTTCCCCCTCCCCTAGATTGCCGGATTCTGAGAGTCCTTGATGATGGCCTTAAACATAAAGAACAGATCCAGTTTTGCGCAGACGACAGAAAGGAAATTGCGATTGCCTTGTGTGTCCTCTTAGTAACCCATCAACACTCTAGAGGTGTGGGTGCCCCAAAGGTGCTTTCTCAGGAGGCAATTGGACTTTCTTCTTTTATATTTTGAAGACGTTTCGCTTCTCATCCAAGAAGCTTCTTCAGCTCTGACAGAATAGTGGGGAATGGAAGGATTTATATTCCTTGCAGACAGCCGGTCATCTGCATCCTTTTAGAGGGTCATTGAAGCACTTGGAAGTTTATCTGTGTCCTCAGGGTCACCTGAGTGGTGCTCCTGGTTCCTGTAGTCTGCCATTCCCCCCCCCAATCTGGAAATCCATTCCTACTCTCCCACACCGTTCAAAGGGTGTTCATCCCAAATTGTATAGTTAAAGGTCTATAGAGATTCTCAGTCATCCAGGATGCAAAAGGATGCAAATGACTAGCTGTCTGCAAGGAATATAAATCCTTCCATTCTCTGCTATCCTGTCAGAAGCTTCTTGGATGAGAAGCAAAACATCTTCAAAGAAAAAACAAGAAAATGTCCAGTTGCCTCCTGAAAAAGCACCTTTCAGACAACCATGACCTGGATGATTGAGAATCTCTAGACTCTAGGTGTGTCTGTGTGTCTGTGTGTGTGTCTGTGTGTGTGACAACCATGACCTGGCTGACTGAGAATTTCTAGACGTGTGTGTATGTGTGTGTGACCACCATGACCTGGATGATTGAGAATCTCTAAACTCTAGGTGTGTCTGTGTGTGTGTTTGTGTGCGTGTGCGTGTGACAACCATGATCTGGATGACTGAGAATTTCTACAAATGTGTGTGTATGTGACCACCATAACTTGGATGATTGAGAATCTCTAGACTCTAGGGGTGTGTGTGTCTGTGTGTGTGTGTGTGTGTGTGTGTGTCTGTGTGTGTGTGTGTGTGTGTGAGACAACCATGACTTGGATGATTGAGAATCTTTAGACTCTAGGGGTGTGTGTGTGTGTGTGTGTGTGTGTGTGCGTGTGTGTGTGTGTGTGTGTGAGAGAGAGAGAGAGAGAGAGAGAGACAATCATGACCTGGATGACTGAGAATCTCTACAGACTCTAGGGGTGTGTGTGTGTGTGTGTATTTGTGTGTGTGTGTGTGTGTGTGTTTTAAATGCTGCTTCGCGCTCCCACTTCGTTTTCCACGCAAGGCTCATTTACACCAAAGGAGCCTCAGTCTCCGCACCACCCTGGGCGGCCCACCTGGAACAAAAACACTCCAGGATTCTCGAAAAGCAGCCAAAGTGCTAATCAAGCGAGGCCGGAGCCGCGTGAGCTTCTGCCGTAGCTGCTTGGCACAGAAGACGGGGCTGTCTGGCCGCAGCTATGAGGTAACGTCTAGCTTTTCTGCCAAGCTGCAGAACTAGTCAGACGCTCCCAGGGAAACGAAGTGGGGGGGGGGGGGGAGAGAGAGAAGCAGAAAAGTTAGACGAGGAATCATCTTCTAGAAACTTCCTCCTCCCGGTTTTTCTCTCTCTCCTCAATTACATAACCTCCGTAGTTCGGACGCAAAAGATTTTAATCAGCTGCTTCCGATGGAGGAAACGGCGTTTTATACCGCTGCTTTCCCCCCTATTCTCTTTTTGGTGCGTGCTCGAGTCCTCAGACAGACAAACTGGAAATGCATAAATAAATAATCCGCCCCCACCTCACCCACAATACGGCTTCAGCTTCAACAGCCTATTTTTGGAAGCAACTGAAATAGAGGATTTTTTTTTTTTGGTCCTCCCTCCCCCCTAACTCCTCCAACCTGTATTTGTAGCATCATCGCCATCATCTCTCCTGTCTTTCTCTTTCCCCCAAAGCCGGCAAGTTAGTCAGGTGGAACTATTGTTTAGTCAGTGTATCTTCCCAATTCCAGCTTGTTTTTCCACAAAAGGAGTAGTTAGTGGGGGGGAGTTTGTCCGTAGCTACTCAGGGTTCGAATTCATCTAATCTCCTTCATGGAATATCCAGTGACGTGACAGGAGTTGGTTTTATTTTGAGTGAGGCAAAATGATATGTAGTACCTAGTTTATTGAAGTATTTAATCTGTATCCTCCTTGAGGCACTGGGGGCTTTGTTTCTGTTTTCTGCAAAACCAAATGCAGAAAGCAGACTTGGATGCGAGACCTCCAT